TAGACTGGCAAACGGAACTCTGATGCTCATCTATTGAAATTATGGCAGACTCATGAATAGATTTTCATTTATACATGAGAACTTCGAGTTTGGTTGGTGTTGGTACATACTTGGTGTTGACGGCGAGACCATGCGCGGCGCGCTCAAGCAGCGAAAGGATATTTCTTCTGCACTATTTTGGCTGCGTTGAGGCAGGATCAGATTAAGAGATTGCGAAGCCGGCATCTTGGATTTTATGAAGCATATTTCCAACAAAGATCCTAACGAATGAATTGAGTGATGCGTTTCACAACTCAACTTTCACTTGTCTCGGCCGCGATCAAAGTGATGCATGGAGCTGAGGATCTGGTCTGATATGGCCACGTTAACAGCCACGTCGCCGCCCACGACACGGTCAACGCTCGTATGCGTGATGTTACACTCAAAGAACTGTGCTCGTCTCGTCTGAGTTACGGGCTCGGGCGGCATCGCTGAACTGCCACATTATCAATTATGACATCCTAATTTAATAGGAATCTCAGCAACTTCAAAGCGCGGGGCCGAACCTTGCCCGCTTAGTGAAACAATAGCCGCTCTTCGCATCGTCGACTCTATTCAGGAGAAAATTTCTTTATTCTTTGGAGAACATGCAAGCTCGTGCTTATGTTGCCTGTCAGGGCACAAAAGCGGATTTTTCATGCCACTCTTGGCCATTTAATGGCTAGATAATTTCCATACTCTTGAACAACCTCTAAATTCGATACTGATTCTATTCCACTCTGAAAGTTATCGTTTACTAAAAGCGCTTAAATTGTCGAAGTTACGAGGCTAAATGTTCCGGATTTGATGTCCGGAACTAGGGACGAAAGGGTCATCTCACTTCTCGCTGAAACTAAACTCAAATTGTTAACAGGCTAAATTAAACAATTTCATATTTAAAATATTAAACAATATAACAGTTATAATGAAATTTTGAGCAATAAAAAAAGAAACACCCACTCAATTGCTGATATATGGATCGCAAAACAAATACCTGCTGGCAGTTGATGAGGCAGTTGATATTTCATCATCTACGGCAGTAGCTCCTAATTTTTTTTCACCTATGTTATCCAATTTGATTTTGATATACCAAGAAACAATTGTTACCCCACTCACTAATGTTATCAGCATTGATAAATTGACTATTTAGCCACTCCTTCGTTACTCATGGAAAATTTATGACTTCTCACAAGGGGTAATATATCTGCAGCCGCAGATTATGTCGAGTCATGTTCAGTACAAATTACTGAAAATTTTCCTTTGTAGAATTAGGCAAGTTCTAGCCATAGAAATTTGTATCACAGTTAGCGGGTTGCGACTGGTGCGACAGCACGGTGCCCTCACTGTTTTGGTAAGGAGCTATTTATTTTTGGATNACGAGTACCCACGTGCTTACGCGTCTGGCGACGTTGAGAAGCGCGAGATCCACTACTTCAGTGACGGGAGTGAGACAGCGTATGGAGCGATTGCCTATATGCGGTCAGTTGCACAGGATGGGACCGTGAGCATCGCCCCAATCCTTGCTATAAGGGAGATAAAGATCGAACTTGATAAATGGAATTCTCTTCACATTGAAAATTGGATGCGGCAGAAGGCCATCGACTGGCGTTTCCAGTCGCCGTCAGCTTCCCACTTTGGAGGTGCATTCGAAACGGAAATCCGATCGGTGCGCCGAGTTTTGAGCGCCCTGATGAACGAGCAACCACTCAAACTGAATGATGAGCAGCTATCAACTTTACTCTGTGAAGTTGAATCTATCCTCAACAACAGGCCTTTGACACCAGCTTCGAACGACCCTTGTGATTTGGATGCCATTACTCCGAATCATTTGCTACTACTCCACTCCCAAGCAACTTTTCCGCCGGGACTTTTCAACAGAGAAGATTCTTACTGTAACCGAAGGTGGCGTCAGGTGCAGTACCTAGCCGACGTATTCTGGACCCGTTGGCGCAAAGAGTATTTACCGCTGCTGCAAAAACGACAAAAGTGGTTCAAGAATCAAAGATCGCATGACGTCGGAGACCTCGTTTTGGTCACTGACCAATTGCTGCCCAGGAACATGTGGAGTCTAGGAAGGATAATAGAAGTTTATCCAGATGAACACGGAAGAGTTAGATCTGCTAAAATTAAGATAGCTAAATTTAGAGACTCGTCACCAACTCGTTTTGGTACCACTGAACTTGTTAGGCCTATTGTAAAATTAATTTTGTTGCGGTCTGTTAGTGATTTAATGTAAATGTTAACACATTTAAGGGGCTGGAATGCAGCCGCAGATTATGTTTAGTCATGTTCAGTACAAATTACTGAAAATTTTCCTTTGTAGAATTAGGCAAGTTCTAGCCATAGAAATTTGTATCACAGTTAGCGGGTTGCGACTGGTGCGACAGCACGGTGCCCTCACTGTTTTGAAACCGTTTGCGGTATGTTAAATAAAAATGAAGAACCTAGCACAAGTTAATGACATCCTGCAACGCGTTAATTCAGCAGTATGGGAATTTAATACGAAAGACGACGAAGAAAGTGGCTACTAATGTAGAAGTCGTCTTTAATAATATAATATTATATAATATAATATAAAATAATATAATACATAGTGCTGGGTAGAAATGAGGCTAGGCAGACATGAGGCTAGGTGGACATGAGGCTAGGTAGACATGAGGCTAGGTAGACATGAGGCTAGGTAGACATGAGGCTAGGTAGACATGAGGCTAGGTAGACATGAGGCTAGGTAGTCATGAGGCTAGGTAGTCATGAGGCTAGGTAGACATGTGGCTAGGTAGACATGAGGCTAGGTAGTCATGAGGCTCGGTATACATGAGGCTAGATAGACATGAGTGTCGTCAATGCCGCTAAGATACATGCGCCTCGTACAATTTGAATGAATATCGATGTTAGGTGTGATTCTTGATTTCTTGCATTAACTGGAAGTGTGTGGTGAACCGATAACAGTTCTTAACATTTCTTTTAAGAGTGGTAGGCAGGAACAGGTTATTGATTCGATGGATTCTAGCGGAGTCAGAGATTATGAAGCTCATATACGCAGAAGGACGTAAATACTATTGCTTTTAATACGAGGTCTGTGTATGTTTATCCGTAATGCTCAGAAAAATAAACGATTCCGCTTGTTATAATGGTATAATCATCTGCATTTCCTAGCGATCTGAATGTCAATGATATAGAGTTTAATTTCTTAGATCCTAGAAGTTCATTCTTCTCTTACTACAAAAGTTAATCAGTTATTTGCAAATTAGTACTGATGCTTCTATCAAACGCTTGGTTATTAGGTTCAGATTTCGGTTTTCTGCGCTAAACCAAAAATTAGCAAGGTCACCAACGTGGTTATGTCTAGTACACTCCATCAAATCTGTATTAAACAGCACTAGCTGTGCTGTAGCGCTTTGAGAATTATGCAGTAACAATTATTTCATTGCCTTGAAACGCTAAAACAGGATGCAATACCTAGTATTATAGATTTAGGTTAAACCTTGCTTAGTTGGTGAATGCCGGATTGGTCGTTTAAGTGTTGGGCTGCATGGTCACTCTACGGCTTCTCTGTCCAGCTGTAGGGATGCGGGCTGAAGTCTATACTAAATTCTCACTCGTGTCTTCACTTGATCCACGGAAGTTTTATTTTATTCATTGTGAATTTATGCGAGGCAATGGATATTAGCTGGATTGAAATCGAGAATGCATATATAAACGTGTTATATTCGAGCAAAATTTCAACTGAGATAAAATGCCTCTGTGCCAAAATAATTTATTTATTTGGGTGCGTTTCGTAGTTGCAATCAATATTCTGTAGAACCCACTTACAATTGTCTTTAAAATAAACACTTTTGATGTACGCATTTTTCCATGTTTAGATTTTGATCATTTCATCGCATATCTATAAAATTTCACAATTTTTGTGGACATTTTTAAAATAGCTTTTGGGTGATGACTAATTCATTTCATAAATCTTAAGAATTGAACATTTTCGCCGGCAAATCAATTATTTGTTCTCGTTGAATAACTTACCTACTTTCCTTCTTGTAACAGTGCGGAGTTTTGTTACGGTATCATTCGACACGATCTCCTTGTATTCTGTGCATAAAGCTTGTATTAAAGCTTGTATTTATTCGTCCCAGAGAAAAGTACAGTGATTCCCTGGAGACAGGCCGCACATTCGTCACGATCTTATTGTGATCTTTGTTTCTCCTTATGGTCTGTATATCCTTATATGTTCTGTATATCTTTTTATGTTCTGCATATCTCATTGTGTTCTGTATATCTTTTTATGTTTCTACAAATCTTCTTGCGTTCTTTATGTTTCATTGTGTTCTGTGTATCTTCTTGTGTTCTGTGTTTTTAATCTTGTATTATTGTGTCCCGCAGAAAGGCTCAAAGAACGCCCTGGAAACCGGCCGCACGTTTGTCACGATATCCTTGTGTTCTGTATATCTTCTTGTGTTACATTTATATCTTTGGGTTCTGTGTATCTTCTCGTATTCTGTGTATTAAGTCGTGTATTAATACGTCCCGCAGAAAGGCACAAAGAACGCCCTGGAGACCGGCCGCGCGTTTGCCACGATTTTCTTGTGTTCTGTATATCTTCTTTTGTTATATGTATATCCTTGTGTTCTGTGTTTCTTCTCGTATTCTGTGTATTAAATCGTGTATTTGTGTGTCCCGCAGAAAGGCACGAAGAACGCCCTGGAGACCGGCCGCACGTTTGCAATGATTTTCTTGTGTTCTGTATATCTTCTTTTGTTATATGTATATCTTTGGGTTCTGTGTATCTTTTCGTATTCTGTGTAATAAATCTTGTATTTATACATCCCGCAGAAAGGCACGAAGAACGCCCTGGAGACCGGTCGCACGTTTGCCACGATATCCTTGTATTCTTAGTAGTTCCTTATGTTATGTATATTTTCTTGTCTTCTGTGTGTGCTTGTGCTCTGTGTTCAACCTTGTATTTGTGTGTCCCGCAGAAAGGCACGAAGAACGCCCTGGAGACCGGCCGCACGTTTGCCACGATCTTCTCGGACATGGACCTGCGGCAGTCGCTGCTGGCGGCGCCCACGGAAGAAGAGTTCAAGCGGCTCATTATCAAGCACTCCCATGACCTCACAGCCGAGCAGCAGGCCGCTAATGAGAAGCGTGTCATCATGAACCATGACCCAGAGGCTGAATATGTGAGTACCTAACAGGGGTCATTGTGTTGTGTATAATTTCAATAATAATGTTTTGTATTGTACTTAGGGAAAAAAGTGATACAAGGAATGAATATCATTAGAACTGTTTTGAGGCGTTGTGTTTGAATTGTATTGAGGTGTTGTATCGTGTATTGTGAAAATAAAATTTTTCTGTGTGGAAAAATATTTTTATTCTATGTTGCGTACTAGATTATATTTTGCAGTAAGTTCAAGGTAGACGATGCAAGCCTTTTAAGACGTCATTAGGCAAATCGCTTCTGTTAGTCAAACTTTTGTAACACTTCTACAGACAGGCTCAGACTTTTTAAACTTTTCTCTTAATATTTATGTTGTTTTGTTATACTTATAGTGATTTTAAACTTGTTTGATCGTGATAAACCCTCATTATGATGACAAGCAATAGTAATAAGTATATTTTTATTTTTCTAATCTCTAAATTTTTTCAACTGAACTCTGATCATTTCCATTGCTAATTTTTTAAGAACTTTCCATGTAAAGCATAGCATGTGAAAAAATTTTCATCGTCAATACTTATTGAAGGCGTATTTTTAACCGCCTATAAACTTTTTTCAAAATTCAGCTAATTCTTGAGCTTCGGCGTATATTTTAATATATTTTTATAAAATCATCGATGCAGCCCAAAAATATTGACATAATCAAAATACAATTTTCCGGCCTGTCTTCGGTTTAGTCGAATGATTTTTAAGATGGGCGCCCAGAAAATGCCAGTGAGATTATTGTACTGATATTATTGAGATTATTATTATTAAGAGATTATTGCACTAAGGTTATTACGCTGAGAGTATGGCACCGAAGGTTTAGCACTGAGGGTATAGCTCTGAGGGTATTTAACCAAAGGTATTGCACCGAAGCTATTGCACCAAGGGTATTGCACAGAATGTGTTGCTGTTAGTGAAGCTTCTGACTTCTCAACGAAAACGAAGAGACTACGATTAAAGTCATCCTGGGTTGATTATGGCTTGCATTTCTCGATACTGCTTTTTTAGTTTTTGAAATTTAGGTTTATAAAAATGTTGTTAACATATTTTTTACTAGAATTTTTAATCTATTCGTCTTTTATGAACGAGTGATGAATTAATCGACGTCACAATTTTAAGTTTGTTCCAATTTATTATACAAATTTCCGTCACCTTATGCATACATTCCAGCACTTCGTTGTACTGGAAGATTAATTATCAATGACCACAACATCACAAGCAGACACCCATTCGGTGACTGCACGAGAACTATATTTCTTATATCGAATAAGTATCCTCATAATGATGAGTCCCCTGAGAATGAAATTAAATCTGTGTGTAATGATAAAATAGATCTCTTTAGTAATAGTATAGAAACTGAAATCATTTCAGCATGGGCCCATGTAAGTTCGTTGTGTAAGTTGCTCCACTCGTCGCAGTCTATAAAGAAATTCATATGCTCCTTCCATGCACTTCCGTATGACAGGATTCCTTCACCAGTTTTAGTGATGCCTTGTCTGTCATGTATGATACGTATTATGATGAATCAGGAATAACTCCATATGCCTCCATTTCAATGATGCCATGGGAACAACTTCATCACATCCGTTAATTTTTATGATGCAGTAGGAATAACTCCCTATGCCTCCATTTTAATGATGCCATGGGGACAACTTCATCATATCCGTTTTTATGATGCAGTAGGAATAACTCCCTATGTCTCTATTTCAATGATGCCATGGAAACAACTTCATCACATCCGTTAATTTTATGATGCAGTAGGAATAACTCCCCCTTCCTCCATTTCAATGATGCCATGGAAACAACTTCATCACATCCGTTAATTTTTATGATGCAGTAGGAATAACTCCCTATGCCTCCATTTTAATGATGCCATGGGGACAACTTCATCATTTCAGTTTTTATGATGCAGTAGGAATAACTCCCTATGTCTCTATTTCAATGATGCCATGGAAACAACTTCATCACATCCGTTAATTTTTATGATGCAGTAGGATTAACTCCCTATTCCTCCATTTTAATGATGCTCTTGACAAACCCTGCAGGGACCTTCCGTACTTTCAACATCTGTCGCCTACACCCTCGTGAGACCCTTTACACTTATTATACTCGGTGTATGTCTTCCCACAACGAACTTTGGCAACTCATAGCTTGAATTAGAACAATAAACTTGGTTGCTTAAAAAGCTCATCAGTATTCCTGGCTCAATTTCTGAGCTGCAGATAACTCAATTAATGTGTAGCTCAGATCACAATAACGTGCCAGGGAATGTGTACAGTTGATTCGTATCAAAGTAATACTTGTGAATGTTCTTTCCGTCATATTAATGATGTTTTAATCAAGCTTATGAATTGCCAAAATTCCATATTGGTATAGCATTTTGCTCGCCGTTCTAAAGTCCGCTTAGCTTTCTGTAACCTCGCAAGTGTCTATATATACTGCATTAAACTACATTACATGTATTTTACTTACGCTGTAAACGTGGCCGTTCGACTCCACTTCACTTCTCACTTTATGTGTTGAAAATTTTTGCTGAATCTGAACATCGAGTGATTGCAGTTAATCCAGCAATGATTCTTTATATCCAAACCCTCATTTCGTCCCTTTCGAGACCCACTTCTTGTCCCAGTTGAGACCCACTTTTTGTCCCAGCTGAGACTCACTTTTTGTCCCTTTCGCGACCCACTTCATGTCCCAGCTGAGACCCACTTTTTGTCCCTTTCGCAACCCACTTCATGTCCCAGTTGAGACCCACTTTTTATCCCTTTCGATAACCACTTTTTGTCCCAGTCGAGACCCACTTTTTATCCCTATTGATCTTATATTATTTAGTAGGCCTGATCTTTTAACAGTCAAGAAAATGTCAGGCAAGACTTGATTATCTGTGGGATATCGAGCGAGTTCCATCTTCAACATCGAACACTTTCTAAATTTTGCTGAAATTTCTTAATACTCTGAATTGTACCTTTAACTTGAGGTAAACTCACTATCAAAATCGAGCTTTACCACATCCAGAGCTGAAAAAAAAGTTTACATTATCATGACAATGTTAACGTTTGATTTTCTTTTTTTTTCTGTGGAGAGATAATGATTTCTTCTAATGTATACTCGTTTCAAATCACGTTAATAATACACTCCCTTTATTTTCTCATTTTCTTATACGTAGTCGGAAACTGTTTCCTTCCTGTATTTTTCTTACAGTTTCTCTGAATGTAAGAAAATATACGTCAAAATGTTCTTGCGTGTCATAACAGGACCATTTTTATAAATTTATTGCAAACTTTTCTCTGAACAATTTGTTCATGTGGCGCTTCTATGCTCTCTAATTCTGGTGAGCGATGCTAGAATTCATAAAAGAAAAAACTTAGCTAGTAATGAATAAAACTTCGTTATAGTCTCACCCATCATATGCTGCTTCCCTTTCCACGACAAGGAAGCAAAATAAATTCGAACAATTGTGATGATACTTTTGAATATTTTCTATTTCCACGACATGATGCACTCTCAAAGTCAATTCGGTACTGTGCATCAATATACATAAATAATGGCAAAAAATGCTCATTGTTATATTTACAATGAATTTTATTTTCTGATATGAGGATAAATGTTCGTGGTACAATTCAATGTAGTTCGTTGGTCGTGGCACGTGTCGATTTTGTTTGCACATGAGTCAATACTCATCGCGCACGAGGCACCGCAACAAATGCAATGCATTACAAGGGCTTCTTCCTCACTGCACTTCTACTTGTTGTATAAAACTGATTAGTTGTTTTCCCATCCTCGTGCCCTAAACAAATTTAACCCTCATCACAACATCACCTTCATTTTGGAACTGTCCGTACTCCAGACCTTTTAAATATTTTCTTCAAGGAAAAAATAGATATCCTAACAGTAACGGGGTCGCATAAGCCATTAATGGGTAAAATATTCAATACGTATAGCAAATTTTTAGGTAAAAATATAAGAATTGCCCTTTATAAATATAAGAACATTAACCGTTAACTTCAACATGTAATCCATATTTTCATATCAGTCCCTTACTTTCCGGAAAATAAATCCGCCTCTATATTAACTAATAAACAAATGACGGTGGAATTATGTCCTTACTGTTGAATTTTAAATTAAGAAACTTGAAATACCACAACATTCGCAACCGTATAATGCTCGTTAAAGCCTCCAAAATAATTGCTCACGGCTAATTTAGGCAAACATTGATCTTAGTTCAAAATATAATCTGGACAATGCTCGAGAAAGTCAGTGGCATGGTCTTTTTTAAGTCATTGGCAGCTGAAAAATATAGACTACCTTTTCCAAATTAAAGAGAAAGTTTTTTTCCACCTAATAGAATAAAAATATCGTTTATTAATTTGTACCTCGCTCTGCTCCTAATACCTCACTTGGTCTGCTGCTACATACCGCCATGACCGTGACCAAATAAAGGTATAAAAAAATAATATGTAGGGTATTTAAAACCATGGTGGTTAGGCGTTCTGTACGTCGGCGTGGTATCTCCATATCATTGCACCTTATACGCTCTCTTTGATTTACTCACTGAGTTTAATTATTGAGTGAATTTTGCCAATATATGTTGAAGATTAATAAGCACTTAAAATTATTAATTGATTGAAATATTATGAAGTGATTTATTTAAAGCAGCTGATGTAAAAATGCAGAGATGTGAATGTCAACTATATTATTTTGTCATTTCTGAGTGACCTTCTCTTCTTCATGACTTATTTATCCGTGTCGATGCTCCCCCATAACGGAAGTTCATTTCTGTTGACTCTTTGCTCGTTAAGGACGAGGCTCGTTTGCTTTGTTCCGATGCTCCATTATTCCTTTTATATTCGAGCATCAAAAAATCGACATTTTTCAAGATTTTAAAGTTCAATTTTAATTATACTTTACCCCTGTTCATGATCATGAGATAAAAGGCACTATATCCTATGAATATATTTTTTTTTAACTTGTTGGCGTTAACATCGATATTTCATGTTGTGAATGGTCATCTTTTCAGTGTCAGCACATAAATTCAATGGCGTCACTATTTTGTCTACTTATAAATCCTTAGCCTTTTCCTATATTAGTTTGGACGGCTCCCGGTCGTATTTCTATGAACGTAATGTGAATAGTTGGCTGAAAAGGAAGCGTTTAGAAGTCTGTCCCATGCAAACACGCAGTGGCAATACGTTCATAAGGCAATATAAATTAATTTCTTTAAATTTACTATTCTCTCTTAATTCCAACTAAAGAGAAGAAGTGTAGAGTGGAACTAAGCGATTTAATCACAATATTTTGGAAAATGTTATTTCATCACTCGACGTAGTTCAGTAACACAACTACAAGGTACATTAATACGGCAGATCTATAAACATTCACACGTTCCCGCAAATTGGGATAGCTATTTAAGTATTTTGAGGATGCATTTTGCATTAAGTAGCTAGCCTATGCTTCGTGGTTAGGTGCTCTTGAGGCTTGGTTGCCAGCGGAACGAAAAACAGTCCCTTATGTCGTTTTCTGAAGTAATTCTTTTTGCTGGGCATGGAATCGTGATTGTAGCTGATGGTGAATGGTTGTTGTTTCTTGCATTCTGTTATTTTTAATTTTGTTAGTCACTGTCTTATAAAATAGTCTACTTACCGTATTGTATTGTCGCACTTAAACATTGCTGTGGTGTTGATGTTGATGTTTAGTCATGGTTTGATCAATGTTATTTTTCGCTAATTAGGCTTTCGCAAGTTATTGATTTCATTTATGAATGCTTCTTTGTGTGTGTTATTCATGTTTTCGATTGTCAAGTCATTCGTTGTTAAGGTCGTTCGTTTTGGATGATCTTCTTTCGTTGTATACACTTGATTATAACTTCGTAAATGCATTTTCTGTAATGAGTTAATTCCACTCGCTACCTAGAATTGTGACTAATTGAAACTTGGAATCGTTCTGTCAATGTTAAATATTCGGTTTATGGCTGTGGATATGCACATAACATCATAATTTATTATTATTTTTTGTCGTTGTAATCGTGGTTGACGTTTCGGTAGCAATTATTCTAACGTTCCCTGCACCACATCTGGATGCTGTAATGTTGATGTTCCTAAATATCTTACTATTGCTCGTCGTTGCCTGCTTAAGCTGTTATTAAGTCAAATTTTTCAAAAGATGTAATTTATGGTAAGAAGAAATTAAAAGGTAAGAATATTCTGGGCACCTTGCTCGTAATTTGGACAGGATTTTAGTAGTACCAAGCTTCTACCGTTTATTCAATTCAAGAGCCAACTAAGATGCATACCCCGGTGTATAATTTCTCACTTTCACGTTCAATAATGTGTTAATTTTCAACTACAGGAGTAAATATAGCTTTCTTATTTTCAGTGAAATTTAATAAAAAGCACGTGTTGCGACACAAGCATTTCAGAAATGTGCAGTGAGGAAGAAACCACCCTTCATTCAAAAAAATCTTGGCCCAAAAATATCTATAAATGCACTATTTGTCATCGTGTGTATCATCTTGTCCCAATTTGGCCCGACAAAGGGTTTATAAGTGTTACACGTGTTCTATTCTCGAGCTGTGCGTAAGAAAGTGCATCAAAATTTGAGCAATTTGAAACATTCATATCTCCGAGTGTAAAGTTCAATTCTTCCACACAGCCCCAACCTACAGACTACTTGTCGCATCTCATGATGAAATGAATTCTATTTTGTTCCAGTGAAAGTTCATTCATTATGTCCAGTTAAAAAAAGATTCAATAATGAAGGATGAAGACTATTCACACTAAAGAAGCAATGTTCAGGAAATTATTTGAAAAGAAATAGACTCATTTTTTCAGCGTCGCCTATGAGTATTCATTAACCTGTCATACAACAAAATTATTTTCTCGATTGTTCCCGCTGTTCACTCACTTATCTGAATCTCTATCGGAGATCTGTATCAGTTGTGTTACATATTGCCTCGTGATAATGGCATTTTGAAGATACAGTATAGTGGTGACATTCAAAGTTGTTGAAGCCTTGACCTTGCTCTTTCTCTCGTGGCCTTTAAGCGACGTTCAGTGAGACCAATCCTCGAACCTCGTTTCATCACTCT